CTGTTAATGCCATTTCTTTGAGTTCAAGTGGCTTCCTCCAAGCATCTGTCTCACTGATCATTATCCAAATAAGCTAAATATCTGTTAGAAAATTCAAACATGCAATTGTGTTCCTTTTGATTCCAATATGTCTGAGTTTTTATAAAAAGAAATATTGAAAGTAGTCTTCTTTGAGAAATCTCTCCATACTCTCCAGGTCCATTTTCTTCTGGAACATTTAAACTGTATGAAAAAAACTCTCAAACACTTGATCTCTTACTTGAAAATGTAAAATTGTAAATTAGGTAAATCTAATATAGTGGTAACAAGAAGTAAGAAAAGTAGAGGATAAGGCTGACTGTAGTTTAAGTTGCAATAAAGTTCATATAATTTGAAAATACTATTAAAATTTCAAGTATTGTGTGATAGAAATCAATTACCATAATAAATTCTAATATACTGTATTTTATAATTTAAACACTACTTAAAATATTTTTTATAAAATTGTTGATGTCACATATGATGAACATTCGTTAAATGGTTGCTGAATATTTTAGTAACTAAATGATTACACTAACATAAATTATCTGGCTAGTGTTCTATGGTGTGCAAAACTATTCCTTTCTAGAATAAGCAACCTGAAAATGAAATGACATTAATGAAGAAGCTAAAAATTACAGAACACTGGTGTCAATTCTGACTTGAGAAAGTATCAGTAGCAATGATGCTCATCTGTTCTAACCAACTATAGTGTTTGATTTTCTGATTTACTTGACTTATCCCCTTACCAGACCTTTGTCATCTCTAGAATCTTAAACATCAAATATGCCAGATCGCACAATGGTTTATCACAGTGACTAAGTTGGTGACACCTACTCTAATAAGTTGTTTTCCAAATGTAAAGAAACTGACATGCTAGCTTCCTTATTGAGTAAGCAACTTAAAATAATATGAACTTCAGAAAGGGAAGTGTTTTTCTAAGTTTTTAATATATTTTAATATTCTGCATATAAAATGAAGATTAGTACAGCAGAGAAGTGAAGGGTACAGATTTCGTGAGAAAATTGTCTTGGTTTAAATTCTGAATATATCCTTTATTAGCACTGTACTTTATGAATATCGCTTAGCTAATCCATACCTTAATTGCTTTTTTATAAAATTGGAATCGTATAGCAACAATGTGATTATATCAAGGAAGTTGAAAAATTTTGCAAAGATAAGAACGTGGTGTAAACATATCTTAGTGGAGTAGGCACTCAACTGAAATTGAATATAATATTTGAAGAAATACAAGGATATTCTATACTTTTGGATGTAACATTGTCATATTGTAAAGACATTAATTATTCTCAAATTAATCCTCTAATCAATTTTTCAACTGGATAAAAGAAAACCTCAATATTTTTCTTTCTATAATATGTGTTGAAGAATAATGGTCCTGAGGTCAACTGACAGCAAAAAGGGAAACTATGCTAACAAATATAGTTACACACACTACAAAGCCATAATGTACAAGAAAATCTTACAAAACAACAAGAAGAAAAATAGGAACTTCTACAGAAAAAAATGGGAAACAGTATATAAACAAGCATATGAAAAGATGCTCAAATTTTCTAGTAGTTAGGGAAATGCAAATTAAAGCAATAATGGGTTTAGTTTATTTCCAACAGAATGGCACAGTATCTAAAACTAACCAATGCCTCATGGTGATGGGAAATATAGGAATATGAGCACTTACGCAGTGAGGGTAGAATTATGGACTACTTCAAGTCAGGTAAATATACTCTATTACCCAAAAATCTTATTTCGATTTATATCTTCCTGGGAAATTATCTTAAACTTAAGGACATATACCAGTATGCTCATTACAATATTAGTCTGTTAGCTGAGGACTGGAGGCAATCTTGGATTTTTATCACTGAAAGAATGGGTAATTAAAACATTATAAGTGTATGCTATGATTACTATCACCTCAGAAATATGAATACATTGAAAAATTGTCAGAGTAAAAAGTTAAGAGTCAGAGAGAATGCTATGACTTTCCATTTCCATCTAAGCAAATACTACTAAGAAATTGGACATATGTGGCAATGTACATATATGGAGTTTATAATAACTAAAATTTGAATGGCATTTAATATCCAGAAATGAGAGACTGGTAATGAAAAGTATATATGATGTAAGATTATGATGGGAAATATTGACATGGAAGAAGAGAAAACAAAAACAGCTTACATCTTTTTTTTTAATAGAGCCTGAAGTTTTCTGCATATGCATATGGATTTACATATGTACATATACATAAACATACATATATAGGAGAAAATATCTGTAAGAGTACACATAAAATTATAATTTCAAGTATTTTTAATTTAATTCTTTTATTGGGTTTATATACATTTTCTATTTTTCCTTTGAGTTTCATTTGTATCCTATATAATAGTAAAACATAAACATTACTAATTATGATTTTCAAATTAGGAGCAGCTTGGTTTCACAATACTAAAATGTTATTAGGTAGCATGCATCCATGTCTATTGGGATTTCAAACAAATTATCAAGACACAATTTCTTGCTTTTTAAGTACATATATTTAACTTCTTTTTTTATCCCTTAAAACTCCAGAATTCAAAAAAAATTAAACATGCATTCAACAAACTTACTCAGAAACTCACGATACTCTATCGTCTTCCAGTTTTATCACAGAATTTACTTTCCATTGATCTTGAACCAAAAAGAAAAAATACCTTCAGCAATATGAACCAAAAGGGGATTTTCAAAAACAACTAGACTGTTGACTAAGTTAAAACCCTGCCTGTTCTTTGAGAGGCAGGTAGCAAACTAGTGCTTAATTTTCCAATATGAAGTTAAAGTCAAACGGAAAGATTATCTTCTTATCATTCGAATCCAACTAGGTATCTCCTCAGTAGTAAATTGGAGAAAGGACACTGGACTATTGTTAAACACTTTGGATTGAAGCCAGCTTGCTAGGTGCTTTCTGGAAAATCTAGACATCTTGCCAATCTTGGCAATACTGTGCTACCCCCATCCCTGGATGTACTAACCTATACACTCGGGGAAGGGCCTTGGGGAAAAATAGGCAGCTGGACACACATTTGATTTGTGGCTCAAAGATCTTGGAAGTTTTGTGTGTAATATCAGCCCAAATGTGGCAATTAAATATTCCTTCAAGTTTGGCTGTTTTCTCCCTATCCCTATCTTCTATGGGAGGTTTCTTCTCTTCTCACAGTGGCACCAAGGTTGAAAGCAGCCATGAGTCTCTTCTTTCTAATGAAGATGGTCATTTCCAGAATTTAATTCATTTAGGTTTCATTGAGTCCTCACATATTCCACGTTTCTTAAAAACAAACGACACATCCCCAAACACACACGCAAACAATAAATAATGACGATAAATAAATGACCAAGATGTAGACAAACCAATAAGCATTAAAATATTAGAATTGTAAGTCAACATTATACTTAAAGAAATTACTGAGCCAAAAAGTCCCTTTTTATATACAATCACACATCCTCACAAAATGCAGAAATAAAAGTCTTGAAATAAATACATAAAATGATAATGGTAGATATAGTTAGTGGAATGTGAATGATTCTGATTTTCTTTTTCATATGTTTCTGCATATTATATTTAAAATAGTTGAAATAAGTATAAGATGTATGGATTGCTAGTTTGTTTTTGTCTCAAGTAAAATAGCACATTAATTTCTTAATGTCACAATAATTAGAAATTGGCATCTCTTCAAACTAAATATTTTTATTAATTGATATGGCAATGGCACTTTCTACATATTTGTATGGAAAAGTATTTTTTATTTCATTAATTATGAGGTAAGATGATGTAGGAAATATTTACCTTTGTTTCACTATGATATCAATATTATTTTGATTTCTATCCACTTCAATTTAATACACACTATTTCTTAAATTGTCCTAGCTTAAACCTAATTGAAACATTTATACTCACATTGAGATTATATAAGTAAATATGGAAGTGAAAGCAATGATACCTAACATATTGAGCTTACTAGATTTCAGGTACTTTTCTGTGGGTTTTATATATTAATTTATTTTATTTTCACAAGAAACTTTGAAGAAAGATGTGTTAGGCTAACTACTTTAGAGATTAAGGAAACTGAGATGCATATATATATTACGTCATGTAGCTGGAAGGTGGTAAATGATTCAAACTGTGAATATCTGGCTCCCTTTTCACTGCTCTTCACACTTAGTTCTACTATCAAATGGAAGTGAGGTTTCTATAAACATTTTTTTCTAAATAATTTCTGTGAATTACCAAAATAATTCAGATAACTAAAATTTAACCTTCACATCAAGATATTTATCTTAGACTATCTGCTAGGCGCTATTGACATAGCAATCTCTACAAGCAGCCCAGAGCCTAGAAAAATGTCTTGATGTACACGTCAAATGTAAGTACTTCTGATACCAAAATCACAAACAACAGTAACAAAAAAATTGATAAATTAGACACTGTCAATATTAAAAATGTTTGTGTTTCAAAGGATACTGTCACAAAAATGAAAATAAAACAATCCACATAACAGGAATATAATTTTGCAAATCGTATATCTAACACAGAACTTTTATCTAGAATATATAATACAAATTCTACAACTCAGTAATAAAAAGACAAATACTTCAATTATAAAATGGCAAAGGATCTGAATAAACATTACTCAAAAGAAGATATGCAAATAGCCAAAAATACTTGAAAATATGCTCAACATTACTAGCCATCTGGGGAATGAGAATCAAAACCAAAATGAAATACCACTTGGTACCCATTAGGGTAGCTGTAATCAAAAATACAGGTAGTTGCAAGTGTGAAGATGTGAAGAAATTTGAACCATCATACACTGCAGGTGGGAATATAAAAGGATACTGCCACTTTGAAAAACAGTCTGGCAGTTCCTCAAAAGGTTAAACATAGAGTTACTGTATGACCCAGCAATTCCACTTCTAGATATATACTGTAGAAAAATGACAGCATATGTCTACACACAAACTTGTACACAAATGTTAATAGAAGCAGATTCATACAAGCCCCAAAGTGGAAAAGACCCGAATGTCCATCAACAGAGGACTGTATTAATAAATGTGGTATATACATATAATAGAATATTATCCAACCATAAGTTAGAAATGAAGTGCTGATACTACTACAACATGGGGAAACCTGGAAAAAATTATGCTAAGTGAAAAAAGCCAGTCACAAAGGACCATATATTGTGTGATTCAGTTTACATGAAACGTCAGAATAGGCAAATGCATAGAGACAGTAAGGAAATTGGTGCTTTCCTAGGACTGGCAGGAGGAAGTGGGGGGAAATGGGGATGACTACTCTTGGGGATGGGGTTTCTTTTAGCGGCGATGAAAATGCTCTAAAATTGATTGTTGATGGTTGCACAACTCTGTGAATATTTTTTCTTAAATATTCCTAACAAATCTAAATGAAACATTATGCTCACGTCTAGATTATACAAATAAGTATAGAAGTGATAATAATGATTGCTATCATATTGCACTTATTAGATTTCATGGACACTTTTGTGCCTGTAAATTGTATACTTTTAATCAATAATATCCATTTATTAGCTTACATTTCTGTAGGTCAAGATACAGCAGGCTCAACTGGCTTATCTGCTTAGGGTCTCAAAAGACCAAAATCAAGTTGTCAGATGAATTGGGCTCCTATTCGGAAATGTTGGAGAAGAATCTGTTTCAGCTTCTTTCTTGGGAGAACTCAGTTTGGTGTGGCTGTAGGATTGAGGTTACTGTTTCTTCCTGGCTGTTGATCAAACATTGCTCTCAACTTCTAAAAAAAGATAAAAAAGATGCTTCTGATCCCCGCAGGTGGCCCTCTCCATCTTTAAAGCCCATAATGGCCCAAGGAATCCTTCGCATGCTTCAAATCTCTCAGCCTCCCCATTCTGGCACCGGTCAGAGAAATCTCTCTGCTTTTAAAGGGCTCATTTGATTAGATTAGGCAACATAATCCATGAGTGATATCTCATCATACTCACAGTTTCTACCCACGCTTAAAGTGTGGAGCAATTACACAATGACAAAGTTCATCGGGTATCATTCTTAAAGTCTGCCTATTGTGCGCATTGAGAGGGTTGTGGAAAGAGAGGGAAGATGTGGAAATAATCTAGAAAATATTATATTCCTAGACAACCAGGGATCCAAAGATTCTTAAGGCATTAGGATATTTTCTTCCTAATTTGAATGTATTCATTTTTTAATATAGATTAAATTATTTTAAAAAAATTGAAATTGTCCGTTTATCCTCTAAAAATAGCCCTAATTATGTCAGATACTGATATCTGGAATTTTATAAATAAAAATTTAAAATTAAATGAAATTTACAACCTAAAAGATGAAATTTTATAATCCTGTAATTACATTTCCTTTTTTCTCAATCAAGGAAACAAAATGGTCTGTATTCTTTTTCTGTATTAATTTGAAGACTTTTTTTCATTTGTCTTATTGAATACATTTTTTCAATTAGTGGCATAAATTTCATCTGATCTCATCTCATTTCATTTTTTAAAATTACTATCTGCAATAGTTAGTTTTTGCCACAACAATGTTTCATAATATACCATCTCAAAGCTCTGTTTCTTAAAACAATTATCCACCAGTCTTACATCTATCAGTCAGCACTGGTCTGTTGAAGGATTGCATCTGACTAGATTTTGCAGTCTAGGCTCCAGGCTCTGCACATTGGGTTTAGATCTGCTCTGCACGTATTGCCTGGACCAGAGACTACCCAACCATGTGTCCTGCCTTTTGTGTGTGATTCTACAGTCTAGACTAATGAACAGGGGCTACTCAGGGCATATTCTTCCCACGACAGGGCATTGGAGCACAACAGGGTGAGCCTCTGCACTTGTTACATCTATTACCAACACATTGGATAATTTAATTCACTTGGTCCAGCCCAAGTAGTTAATGAACTGTGTGGTGCACTTTGTCCATCACGGGTTCACAGCCGGGATGTGAGTGTACAAAGCTACTGCAAGTGAGGGAAGAACTGAGAACAGTAATTTAATCTAACAAACTACTGTTAACTCTTTCAACCAATTCTACTACAGTAGAAGTTTAGAATGAGTGTCTTCCCTGCCCTAGTCTCCTCAGCATGGACATCTTTTCCCTCTTGGTGGTATCATCTCCACATCATCAAGATTCTATGTGTTGTTGGATTCTTAAGCTATTTTGCTACCAAACACTTTTAAACATACTGTATTTACCTCTGTGTTAATTTATAATACCAAAAGTAGTTTAATGTGTTTTCTTAGGACACTCACATTTTAGTAGCAGGTCAAATTTGATTCCAAAAGAACAACACTTCCCGGTCAGACATTTTAACTAATTTTAAGGAAGATCTATAAACTTGTCATAATATAGTGTTATTCTAACTCTTCAGTTTATTTTCGCTGCATATAGAGTTTTGAGCATTCGTTAGTAAAGTATATTGATATTCTTACAACAGATTCTTATATTTTATTTTATGGAATGTAAAATTCTATTGAATTATTTGGAGACTAAAATTTATCATACTCTTTTGCTTTCAGACATCATTTCGACCAGGAAATTTAAAATATATATTATTGCCTTAATCTTAGTAAAACATTTCTTTTTGAGGCTGTCTTATTGGCTTGACTCTGTCCCTTGCTTTCAATCCTATATGTGGCCATTTCATAATTGCTTCTTTCCCAAGGTTTCCTCAAATTAGATGCCATATCTGACATTCCCTAGTCTCCATAAATAGAGTTATATTGTGCCCTGTGTTTTACACAGATTTATCTCCAAAGGACTCTAAGATCTTTTCTCACTGCCAGTAGTCGGTTGCTGCGTTTTCTATAATATACCTGTGTAAATCTTCCATAAGCACCAGATCTTTACTTAAAGGTTGTTGCTATTTTTCTTTTTTTGGAATAATGAGCCATGTGATCATAATTTTTCATTGCCTTACAATTTTAAAAATTCAACTAACATTCATGAAATAGGTATTGTGCATATCAGGGTAACAGACTAAATAACAGGGTTACAGAGATGAAAAAAATCTCTCCTTGAGAAGTATAGCTAGAACATCTTCTAAGCCTCTCATGACTCTACAGTGCTATGTCTACAAGGTAATTCTACCACAAGAGGATTAAGTCTTACTTATTTTTATTTTAATGTGCCTTTGTGTGACCTTAGGAAAATGATTTAACCAATTTGAATATTAGTTTCAATATCTGTAACTCAAAGTTATGCTGAGGATTATTCTGAAAATATATGAGAACTACTGAGCACATTATATGTATTCATGACAGCATTTTGGCATTGTCATTTAAATTGGATACTTTAAATTTTATTTTGCATCTTTATGTAGTGCACATAAAATTTTTAAAATGATGCATTATGGAAACAATGCATAAAATTAAATACCTTTATCTAGTGAGGCCAGGACAATAATATTATGACACAAAAGTACTTTTAGTTTCTTAATTTATGATAGACAACAGATTAAATCAACTTTTATCATTCCTGATAAAACTAAAAAGGAATAAAGTTTAGGAAATGTGACAAGCAAACATCAGTAAATAACAACAGAAGTAATAGCAAATGTGTAATTCATGTCTACCAACTTCTTGTGTTATTTTGTACTGACTTTGTTTTTATTCTTTATGTGAATAAACATGTACCCTAATAAATATCCTCTTTAATGTTTGTATGTAGTGACCTTCACCAAGGAAAAGTAAACTTGAAGTGTTTTCAATAAATTAATTGGGTCATGAGAGTTAGCCGTGGTGCAAACATTTTATTATAAAAGCAAGTGAGTCATATTTATTAGAGTGTGGCATTAAATTATTACACTATTTTATAATGGAAAAGGTAATATAAAAATATAATCACTCTGTCAAGCTATTAACAAATTTTCATTATTATTCTTTATTCAATTTCCTACTCTAATTTAGTTTTCCAAGTACAGAAATGATTCTTGGACTTAGAAAGCTTTCATTCCAAATCCGAATACAAGGGAGAAAGAATCACAATGGCAAACCAAAAGCAGCGTCTTTTTTCTTTCTTCTGCCATTCTTCAGGGTGAATAGGTGGGATAATGTGAAATGACTATTTTTATTAAGAAGACCAGATAATGTTTTAGAGGAAAAGAAACAGACTATTCTCTTAGTCATAAAAGCAGATCACAGATCTAATAGTTTTGTCCTTAGCTCTCATACACAGTTTGGGTATGCATTCATCTTACTATTTTTATTGTATGACAAAGGACAGTAAAATGAGATTTTTTTTCCATCGTCCATGGATTTTTTTTCTCCTTATGCTTTCTCATAAGATTATCGCTCATTAAACTAGAAGTTTCATGCTTTCTTTCTGTATCTATCTGAAAAAAAGTTGTTAAAATACATGTGAAAAAGAAAGCTAATATTATGTAATATTTTCATTTAAGCTTATTAGAATGACTGTAGACAGCAAATGCCATATTTTGAAAGATGATAAGTGAAAGTCTGAGTTAAGTTATATAACTTGTTTAAAGTCACAGAGAAAACTATACCTGCAACTTAGGACATCAGTTCCTGATTCCAAAAAGCAGTGCTGTTTCCACAGACCCTCGTGCCACAAAAATATAATAAAAAAATCAAATTAAAACTATATATTCTATTTATCATGAGAAATAGATTTCTAGATGAACAATATTTTGAGAGATTTATTCGTTTATTAAACAATCTACTGTTTGACAGACTGTCATTGATGCTGAGATAAAGAAATAAATAATACGGGCAAGTCCTTCCTTTCATGAAACTTATACTTTAGGGAGAAAAAAAACAGAGTATAGAATAAAAAAACAAACACAATATATTTAGGTATTGATAACTCCAATGAGGGAAATGTAAATTAGTACAATAAATTACAAAGGAAGAAGGTGTTTTTAGGAGGATAGTCAATAGAGAACCCACTAATTTAGTGACATTTGAGATTGATAATTAATGATAATATTAGGAGGAGTTAAGTATGGTTATCAGAAAAGGAGAGTCACAGACAAAACTGAATAGCTACTTCATGCATTTGGCTATATTGCCTAAAGAACCTGCTAATAATCTTGGTAATGTGGGT